GGGTGGGGGGGTATACTACAAAAGTACCGAAGGCCCCTTCTACTCTTTCCCCCTGAGAAACAGTCCCGCACAAAATGGCGCGAACTGCGCATGCTCACGATTTCGTGGAAAAGACTCTATTCAGAAGCAGGTCATTATTATTGAAAATATCCAATAGGCTACTCTCCTCCTCGGACAAAGAAAAGCATAAAACTCATCAGTTGGATTTTACATGATAAGTGTACCGGTACAACCAAAATGACAAACTTCAAAGAAAACAAGCCAAAATGTTTTTTTTTTTCTTCTGGCTTTCTTAACATGAACGTAAATATTGTTGAATATTTGTAAGCTGCAGCAAGTGTGATCATTGACTATTCTTCTTCTTCTTCTTCTTCTTATTATTATTATTATTTATCAAATAATAAATAATAATATTTCAATTGTACCCAAATGTCCCCCTGTGAGCCTACCATTATCTCCAAGTCCCGCGAGAGCGAGATTTCATTTGTCCCCCTGTGAGCCTACCATTATCTCCAAGTCCCGCGAGAGCGAGATTTCATTTGTGGAAATGTCACACAGATTCAAAAAACCATACCTTTACATTTTCTTCTATCATCTGCTCCACCAAGGGGCGCCGTGTGCGTGTTTCTTGGACAGGGTTTACAACTCATCTGTCCTCGAGCAGTATTGTAGGTGTCCGCAGGACAAGGCGAACAGGAGTCTGGATACTCTAATCCGTTACCGGAATAATAACCTCGCCTGCACATTTCTGTAAAAAAAATTACCTTAAAACTGTAAGCTAGGACCGCAGGCGAAAAAGGGAGCAGCGACGGGAAGTGATCAACCATTGGAATCTAACAGTAAAGACATTAAAACATTTTGTGAAATGCATTGTAAAATGCATTTTCAAGAATTGCATTAGAGTTAAATCGGAAGTAAATATCTGATTATGTATTAGGTGAAATCCTAAAATTACTGAAAAGCAGACAATGCCCAGAAATAAGTCTTTGAGGCTCTCGCTGTTCTCAGATTTGCCACCTAAAACACCCGGGCACTTTTCCACCTCTTATGTTTTTTTTTTCAATAAACCATCTCCCCCCCCCCCATCCTCGACCCCCCCAAATAGGAAAACCCACGTAGTAGGCCTAACTGTGTACCCTGTACGTATTCTTTGACCTACCGGTACAGTTTTGTCTACTAAAAGAGCCAGTGGTCAGCGTACTCTCCCCGTCGGGACAAGCCACACACATGACCTGCCTCTCGTCCTCGCTGTACTGACCCTTGGGACATTTTTCACACTTCAGTGCCGCATTCTGAAAATATCCCTTCACGCAGACCGCTGGAAAAAGAAAGAGAGAGAGAGAGAGAGAGAGACGTTTACTTAAAAAAAATGAAATCACGACACAGCACGTCATTTAAATTACATGTCCGTAGCCAGCAATTTAAAAGGGGGGGGTCTTTTTCTGAAATAGTGGACCTTTTACAATGAAAACCTTTCTGTACCTAGATCAAATTTTACCCAGGATCGTTTTCGGACCATTTTAGTTAAATTCAATTTCATTGGACTCGGTCACAGTCCTTAACTTGTACTTTGTCCAGTTCAAAACGGACATATTATTCAAGATTAAAAAAAAGATTAAGTCGGAAGACAGGGTTGTTAAACATAGCGTTTTCTAAAAGTTATGATGTATAGACTGCCAAGATACACTTACCACATTTATTTCTCTCTTGTTTATATTCCTGGCCTGGTGGGCAACTCTCCACCTCTCCGTGAACATTATACCGAGCACGAAGCCCGATGGTTTGTGCGCTCTTTTCTAGCGCGTTTTTCATTTCTCTCATGAGTAACTCAACATTTTGTCCTCTGAGTGAAGGAGCCCCCACGGACCTTTTACCTCGAGGGGGCGCTGGTGTTCCTCGAACAGCACTGGCGTTAATGGCGCCGCATATGACTCTGAAGTTATCGACTGTGACAATGCAGTTACATGTAAGCCCAAAAGGCGACGCTTTGAAATTGCTCACAGCATTTTCTTTGATTTGCTTTTGGGCCCTAGGATCCGGGCATTCATAATCGTAGTATAAGGTCAGAACGAGGTTGTCATTTGGATCCTGGTATCCTGTAACACGTAATGGATACTATGAAAATACATGTATATAGGCCTAATACAATCCAGATATTTGAATTTCTGATGAGGTCATTAAATGTATTTCAAACGATACGAGGTGTCACTTCACATAAAATTACTGATAAACGATTGCAAATCATTTCCCATGTACATCAAAAACCGTTTTTCCCCTTGATTTGAATACATTACAAATCAGCACTTACGGGTACAGTCGGGCACTTGGGTGGTGGGTTGCCATCTCCCGCTCCCGCCACACACGTAGAAACTTGGCACGGACGTCATACCGGCTGGCAAGTCGAAATCGTATGGATTTTGGCACTGAAGAGTACAGAACACTCCGTACCCAAAGGTGTCGCATCCCGCAGCTCCGTTGATAGGTGTATGGAGATCAGGACACTGGTGAGCTGAAAAGTGCAGGTTCCCTATGTTTGTTAAATTTGATCAGTGGTATTATCACACAATTAACATTAGACTCTACATGAATTACAGTCTGACCTCCGAGTGTGTGAGGTCTGATAAAATATAAAACTGACTAATGACATCATCACTCAATGCATTAAATTAAATAATTCTGACCGATGACGTCATCATTACACATAATTCTGACCGATGACGTCATCATGAAACATAACACTGACCGATGGGTCATCACCAAACATGCCGACTCAATATAATCTTTTTGGAGGTGTAACCGAGATATACTGGTTGTATTGCGTAATTAAAAAAAACAAGATAAAAATATATATTTCTGATGAGAAAATAGTTGTTGTACTTAGAATGGTTCGTGCGGTTCTGTAAGTATCACCCAGCAAGTAGCGCCCCTAGCGGTGTAGGCTAAAGCTAACACCATACTGTATATTAATATAAGTATGAGGTACGAATCTTGAAGTTGAAATATATTTTTAATCTGTTACTGCATAAAACAAAATTTACTTTCGTCAGCAGTCGACATACAAACGGTGTTTACTCACGTCCTATGTTGAGCGCGAAAGAGCAACTTGCACGGTTTCCAGATTCGTCTCTGACGTCGTAAACAATTTTGTACCGCCCCCAGTAAAACTTCCCTGGACTCATATTGCTGTTCACCGTCACAGGTCTGCCACTGTTGTCTTTTACCGTTGGCTCTACCCAGAACACGTCGACCTCTCTGTCCGCAGACACAACTGGGTCAACTTTTGGACAGGTTATGGTGGGTGGTTGGACATCTGTATGGGGAGTAATAAGCGAAAGAAAAATTAATTACAATGTATTACGTATGATAATTATAAAGCACAAGGCGAAATATTTTCATATCGTTAGCTTGTTGTATTATTTTAACATTAACATATGACTATTAAAATCCTTCCGTGTTAACAATCATATTAAAGGTACTAATGACACATGTACTGTAAGCTGAATCCGTAGGCCTGCCTCTATCTTGCAAGCAAACATGGGGGTCAATTTTAATACTTTCGGTTTAAAAATGAGAGTAGCCACAGAACACAAAAACTACCCTTCAAGACTACAGCTTTTCCAAATACTTTTTTCAAAGACCTCATACCATTCTGTGTCCTCCAGAGTCAATGAATGCATAATTAATACTATTTAAAAGCGTCACAAATCTTGCTAAAATTGAAGGCAACTTCACATCTCCTACAGAGGTATATGGAACTATCCCAGCACGAATGTAGTGCTTCACTTCATACATACCCCGCACTTCCACTTTGAAGTTGAAATTGGCGCTGTTACCATTGTCGTCTGTGAACACGTACTTCACTGTGGTCTCACCTATCTTGAAAGTATGTTTATAGCCTCCACCTATTAAGAAAATAATTTCTCTCTCGATGTAATCTGGTAAAAAAATTGAATTTTTTCTCTCTACTTCAACCACATGTCCTTTAGAGAACCTGAGAAAGGTACCACATGTAATTTGACGTTTAGGAACACTCATCTTTCTCTGCATGTTAAGTGAGAATTAAGGGTTACATACTCTCTCTACCTAGCTGACCCAATCCCTGTTCATCTTGTATACTCTTTCTACCCCGGTGACCCAATCCCTGGTCACCTTACATACTCTTTCTACGCCGGTGACCCAATCCCTGGTCATTTAACATACTCTTTCTACCCCGGTGACCCAATCCCTGGTCATTTAACATACTCTTTCTACCCCAGTGACCCAATCCCTGGTCACCTTACATACTCTTTCTACGCCGGTGACCCAATCCCTGGTCACCTTACATACTCTTTCTACCCCAGTGACCCAATCCCTGGTCATTTAACATACTCTTTCTACCCCGGTGACCCAATCCCTGGTCACCTTACACTTTCTCTTTTCTGCGATAATGAGATCTCGAGTGCAGCTTGAGGAATATAGTTTTATTACTTCTCAAGTATATCAATTATTTATTCAGCATACTAAAAAAGGAGCGAAGTTTTGTCCTTTCGATCTTTTCATGGACATCTGCAGGACAGTCATGAGCGAAAGGGAAATTAACTGATGTGTTAAAGNACACACAAGCCAGGCCTGTAGCCAGCAATTTCAAAGGGGGGGGGGGGGGGGGTTCGTTTTCTGAAAAAGTGGACCTTTTCCCATGAAAACTTCATGCACCTAGATTAATTTTACCCAGAGTGGACCTTTTCCCAGCAAAAGGGGCGGTTCTTTCGAACCCCCCGAACCCCCCCTGGCTACGGGCCTGCAAGCACACACACAGACATTAATGCTTGAACCAGTAATACTTGTAATACAGGCTTCATACTACAACATACCCAAAGATGGTGAAATTGTCGCCAGCACGTGTACCGTACGATATTGGCGTTCCATAACTCCCATTCACTTTATTGTTGTCACTGCTCTCCATCCAAAATTCTATAGTTAAAGCTGACAAAGACCTGAATGGCAGATTCGGCTCCAACTTGATAAAGTCCAACTCGGATGCCTTGTTGAAGTCGACTCCAAAACATGGCGATTGTCCTATAATCATGTATAATTTGTTTTGTTGAAAATTGTGAGTTACTGTTTTTTTAAATGTAAGTTTTATCATAACGTCAAAAGAAATGCCCTTCTCAGCTGGGAAAAAAGATGTAAACATATTCAATTGAAGCACACGAATGATAGCTTGGTGGTTTGATGAAAATTAATCTAAAATATTGAATATTTCGATAAGGGAACTGTTATTGGGAGTTTTGCTAAATTTTTTTATGAAAGAGACATTTGGTATTTCGTTTACTTGAAAAGACTGCCAAATTTATCGAAAAAGGAGTGACTTGTGGCAAGTATAATGTATACTTTTATTTGATAATGCACTTTGCCTTTGCAAATAAATGTTTAACTTTTAACGTCCGGGCTTAATATAAATACGAAGAATCATTGTAACATACGTGTGCTGCAAGTTTTCCCTGAATAGTATGGCTTGCATTTGCATATGAATCTGTTGACGTCATCATGACAGGTGGCGCCGTTGACGCAAGGGGAGCTAGCGCACTCGTTGATATTAGTTTCGCAATATCTTCCAGTGAAACCCGGAGGGCATCGGCACTGAAAACTGTTGACCCCATCAACGCAAGTCCCTGAAATTCAATAAATAAATTGATTAATTAGTTAATCAATATAAAACTCTGCAGTTCTGTTAAAATTTTGATTAATGAAAAGAACACAAGTAACATTTAAGCTTAAACAAAGGAAATAGAAATTATGGTAAATTTGTTGTTTTTTATAAATTTTCTGTTGTGTTATACAATTATTCTATTATATTGCTATACCAGTCTTTCTGATCTCAAATTATCTGAAGGTACACTATATAAATTTAATATTGTCAAGATAAAACTAACATTTAAAGGCCAAAATTAGATATTCGTGGATAAATCCTTGATGCTTTTCATTATCATTATTATTGATATTATTATTATTATTATTATTATTATTATTATTATTATTATTATTATTAATTTGATTTTGAACGTCGAGGGAAGACGGCATTTGACAACGCGATCACGCCCACTTTAATGTTATGCCTTACAGCACCTCTCGTTAATGTGGTTTGTAAGCCCGCTCACCTTCGTTCTGACAACTCACGTCTTGACAGTCATCAATGTTCTGTGCACATTTAAGCCCCGTAAAGCCAGGCCGACACTGACAAGTGTACTCGTTCACCCCGTCTCGGCAACTCCCTCCATTTTCACAAGGGTTGTCCGCGCATTCGTCCACGTTAATCTCGCACCTGTTGCCATGGAAGCCTGGGACGCACAGACAGGTGTAGCCATTTGCCTTGTCGACGCAAGTAGCGCCGTTCTGGCAGGGGGAAGAGGCGCACTCGTTAATGTTCAGGGAACAATCAGCCCTAGTATAACCGGGGGCACAGCGACACGAGTATCTGCAAAATGACGGTTGATCGATAGATGAATATCGGTACAAACTGCTTATTGAACTATTTTGGCGCCCCGTGTTGGGTTGTATAAAAGCCGTATAGCACTATACGCCGGATAAACCTTTACGGTTTTCACACAGCCCAACATTGGATCACAAGGTTATGTGATTTTATAAAATTTATACCAGGTGCAATGAACAGCACTGCCTTTATTTCACGCAGGAACTTACGAGGTCTCTAGCAAAATGTCCATAATGTTCTTACGTACGAAATGGATACTGTGGCGGCCATGTACATGTACACAACAAGGTACAGTAAGGTGTTTTCTTCTTTAAATAGGCCTACACATACTGATAATAAAGCATTTTCATCGGAATATAAACGCAGCAGGTTCTTCAAAAGCTAGAAACATCCGTTCACAAATTTTCTTTTGCCACGAACCGATTCTTTTCAGCAAATGACATGGTCAGAGACGTCATTGCCGGCTGAAGAATATGTCATGCTAACATTGAAACATAACTATAGGGGCCTATCATAAAAAAATAATAAGCTTGATATCATCAACAAACAGATGTATTTATTTCGGCCATTAGACATACCCGTTCACCCTGTCCAAGCACGTGGCGCCATTCATACACGGCGTGCTCTCACAGTCATCTATGTTCACTTCACAGTTTTTACCAGTGAAACCAACTGGGCATGCGCAGAAATACTCGTCTATGCGATCTTCGCACCGGGCCCCATTGAGACAAGGGTTAGACAGGCATTCATTAAGATCTGAAAAAATATTTTAAGTGTAAATATTTATTTATTTATTTATTTATTTATTGGTCTCTTTTTCATTTAGATCTGACAAAAAAGATCTGTGTACGTCCCTTATGTTTGTACCATGTACATGATGTGATCTTTTGTTTAAATAAAGCTTTTTCTACGCGGGTTCGGCAATGTCCCGAAGTCCTATTTCATGTCTAGAGATATCTAGCAAAGATTCTGCTCTAAGACTTTGAACCGAGGAAATGGATGTCTACTTCCTTGACGACAAGTACTGTACCTATGCAGTCTCCAATCCTTGTTTTCCCTTCACCCACCGTGACCTTGCCGGATGGGCACTCTTGACACTCCGTTGACCTTCCATTTGGTTGGTATGTGTTCTTTGGACAAGGCTTGCAAGGCTGCAGACCATCGACTGACACTGTTCCAGCCGGACACGGACCTGAAACAAAGGGGAGAAATTAAATATGTGCGGTGCTACTGTGCCGTGGATGCTATGAACGCTGAAAACACGAAATAGCGTCATTTAAGCCTCAAAATATGTCACGTGCAAGTTGGGGATTGGTTCTTTGGGTTATAATTCAGAAGCAGGTCATTATTATTGAAAATATCCAATAGGCTACTCTCCTTCTCGGACAAAGGAAAGCATAAATCTCATCCTTTGGATTTTACATGATAAGTGTACCGGTACAACCAAAATGACAAACTTCAAAGAAAACAAGCCAAAATGTTTTTTTTTCTTCTGGCTTTCTTAACATGAACGTAAATATTGTTGAATATTTGTAAGCTGCAGCAAGTGTGATCATTGACCATTCTTCTTCTTCTTCTTCTTCTTCTTCTTCTTATTATTATTATTATTATTATCAATCAAATAATAAATAATAATATTTCAATTGTACCCAAATGTCCCCTGTAAGCCTACCATTATCTCCAAGTCCCGCGAGAGCGAGATTCAAAAAGCCATACCTTTACATTTTCTTCTATCATCTGCTCCACCAAGGGGCGCCGTGTGCGTGTTTCTTGGACAGGGTTTACAACTCATCTGTCCTCGGGCAGTATTGTAGGTGTCCGCAGGACAAGGCGAACAGGAGTCTGGATACTCTAATCCGTTACCGGAATAATAACCTCGCCTGCACATTTCTGTAAAAAATAATTACCTTAAAACTGTAAGCTAGGACCGCAGGCGAAAAAGGGAGCAGCGACGGGAAGTGATCAACCATTGGAATCTAACAGTAAAGACATTAAAACATTTTGTGAAATGCATTGTAAAATGCATTTTCAAGATTTGCATTAGAGTTAAATCAGAAGTAAATATCTGATTATGTATTAGGTGAAATCCTAAAATTACTGAAAAGCAGACAATGCCCAGAAATAAGTCTTTGAGGCTCTCGCTGTTCTCAGATTTGCCACTTAAAACACCCGGGCACTTTTCCACCTCTTATTAATATTTTTTTTCAATAAACCATCTGCCCCCCCCCCCCAATCCCCGATTCCCCAATTAGGAAAACCCACGTATTAGGCCTAACTGTGTACTCTGTACCTATTCTTTGACCTACCGGTACAGTTTTGTCTACTAAAAGAGCCAGTGGTCAGCGTACTCTCCCCGTCGGGACAAGTCACACACATGACCTGTCTCTCTTCCTCGCTGTACTGACCCTTGGGACATTTTTCACACTTCAGTGCCGCATTCTGAAAATATCCCTTCACGCAGACCGCTGACAAGAAAAAAAAGAGAGAGAAATGTTCACTCTGACAATGAAAGTGAAATCACGAAACAGCACGTCATTTAAATTACAGGCCTGCAGCCAACAATTTAAAAGGCGGGGGTTTTTTTCTGAAAAAGTGGACCTTTTACAATGAAACCAATGAAACCCTAAAACAAATATTACCCAGGAATGGATCTTTTTGGACTATGTTAATAACATTGAATTTTATTTGGGTCTGACACAGTACTTAACTTGTACTTTATCTTGTAAAAGTGTCCAGTTCAAAACGTGCACATTATTTTAAAAAATAAATAAAAAAATAAAATTTAAATTTAAAAAAACGCTTAAGTCGAAAGACAGGGTTGTTAAACTTAGCGTTTTCTAAAAGTTATGATGTATAGACTGCCAAGATACACTTACCACATTTATTTCTCTCTTGTTTATATTCCTGTCCCGGTGGGCAACTCTCCACCTCTCCGTGGACATTATACCGAGCACGAAGCCCGATGGTTTGTGCGCTCTTTTCTAGCGCGTTTTTCATTTCTCTCATGAGTAACTCAACATTTTGTCCTCTGAGTGAAGGAGCCCCCACGGACCTTTTACCTCGAGGGGGCGCTGGTGTTCCTCGAACAGCACTGGCGTTAATGGCGCCGCAGATGACTCTGAAGTTATCGACTGTGATGTTGCAGTTACATATAAGCCCAAAAGGCGACCCTTTGAAAATGCTCACAGCATTTTCTTTGATTTGTTTTTGAGCCCTGGGATCCGGGCATTCATAATCGTAGTACACGGTCAGAACGAGGTTGTCATTGGGATCCTGGTATCCTGTAACATGTAATGGATACTATGAAGATATGTAATACAATCCAGATATTTGAATTTCTGATGAGGTCATTCAATGTATTTCAAACGATACGAGGTGTCACTTCGCATAAGATTACTGATAAACGATTGCAAATCATTTCCCATGTACATCAAAAACCTTTTTTCCCCTTGAATTGAATACATTACAAATCAGCACTTACGGGTACAGTCAGGTACTACGGTGCTGGGTGTCCAGGTTCCGCTCCCTCCACACACGTAGTAAGGTGGCACGGATGTCATACCGGCTGGCAAGTCGAAATCGTACGGATTTTGGCACTGAAGAGTACAGAACACGCCGAGCCCAAAGGTGTCGCACCCTGCAGCTCCGTTGATAGGTGTATGGAGATCAGGACACTGGTGAGCTGAAAAGAGCAGGGCTCCGTAAGTCGAAAGCATCGCGTATTGCGAATAGCGATATCACAAAGAGGCTACAATGTATTATATGGGGCGAGTTATAGAATCGAGACTGTTGCGCTCGGTCGCAATGCGTGATGCTTCTGAGTTACGGGGTCCAGGTTCCCTGTATTTACATCCGCCAAGGAGGTTATGTTTTCACCCCTGTTTGTTTGTTTGTCTGTCTGTCTGTCTGTCATTGATTGTTAATTGATCCGAAGAACCACCAAAAACTAATCATCTGTTCCTTGGCCCACTTCTGACTGTTCCTGAAAATTTCATCAAAATTGGTCCATAACTTTTTGAGTTAGGTTGATGACAGACAGACAGAAAGACAGACAAACAGGGGTGAAAACATAACCTCCTTGGGGGAGGTAATAACATGATCACTTCATTAAATAAATAGTTATGACCGATGACATCGTCGTCACACATAATACTGACCGATGACGTCATAATCAAACAACACTGACCGATGACGTCATCATCAAACAATACTAATTAAATATAATCTTTCGAAGGTGCAACCAAGATATACTGGTTGTATTGCGTAATAAAAAAAGATGAAAATATATATTTCTGATGAGAAAATAGTTGTTGTACTTAGAATAGTTCGTGCGGTTCTGTAAGTATCACTCAGCAAGTAGCGCCCCTAGCGGTGGAGGCTAAAACTAACACCATACTGTATTTTATTATAAGGATGAGGTACGGATCTTGAAGCTGAAATATATTTTTTAATCTGTTACTGCATAAAACAAAATTTACTTTCGTCAGCAGTCGGCATACAAACGGTGTTTACTTACGTCCTATGTTGAGCGCGAAAGAGCAACTTGCATGGTTTCTAGATTCGTCTCTGGCGTCGTAAACAATTTTGTACCGCCCCCAGTAAAACTTCCCTGGACTCATATTGCTGTTCACCGTCACGGGTCTGCCACTGTTGTCTTTTACCGTTGGCTCTACCCAGGACACGTCGACCTCTCTGTCCGCAGAGACCACTGGGTCAACTTTTGGACAGGTTATGGTGGGTGGCTGGACATCTGTATGGGGAGTAATAAGCGAAAGAAAAATTAATTATAATGTATTATGTATGATAATTATAAAACACAAGGCGAAATATTTTCATATCGTTAGCTTGTTGTATTATTTTAACACATGACTATTAAAATCCTTCCCTGTGAATGGTCTATGCCAGTGTTAATCATATTAAAGGTACTAATGACACATGTACTGTAAGCGGAATCCGTAGGCCTGCCTTTATCTTGCAAGCAAACATGGGGGTCAATTTTAATACTTCCGGTTTGAAAATGAGAGTAGCCACAGAACACAAAAACTACCCTTAAAGACTACAGCTTCTCCAAATACTTTTTTCAAAGACCTCATACCATTCTGTGTCCTCCAGAGTAAAGGAATACATAATTAATACTATTTAAAAGCGTCACAAATCTTGCTAAAATTGAAGGCAACTTCACATCTCCTACAGAGGTATATGGTAAAACGATGTGCTTATAATTGCCTAAACAACTAACTATCGCAGCACGAATGTAGTGCTTCACTTCATACATACCCCGCACTTCCACTTTGAAATTGAAATTGGCGCTGTTACCATTGTCGTCTGTGAACACGTACTTCACTGTGGTCTCACCTATCTTGAAAGTATGTTTATAGCCTCCACCTATTAAGAAAAGAATTTCGCTCTCGATGTAATCTGGTAAAGAAATTGAATTTTTTCTCTCTACTTCAACTGCATCTCCTTTTGAGAACCTGAGAAAGGTACTATATGTAATTTGACGTTTTTGAAACACTCATCTTTCTCTGCATGACTTAAGTGAGAATAAAGGGTTACATACTCTCTCTACCTAGCTGACCCAATCCCTGTTCATCTTGTATACTCTTTCTACCCCGGTGTCCCAATCCCTGGTCACCTTACATACTCTTTCTACGCCGGTGTCAAGCAACACAGCGTCCTACCATTCTAGGTTCCGGCGGACCCGGTGTTTCAAAACTGAGAGTCCGGCGGACTCCCTGTCTCGAAATAACGGGTCCCGGACTCTATGTTCTGAAATGTAGAGTCCCCCTATCATGAAACGTAGGGTCCGGTTAAATGCAGGGTCCGGGGGACCCTGTATATTATATCCAATTACCATGATACAAGGTCCGGGACCCATTATTTCAGAAACCTTTTCTGAAATAACGGGTCCCGGACTTTCTGTCATGGGGGACCTTCTGGTACATGACACCGGTGACCCAATCCCTGGTCATTTTACATACTCTTTCTACCCCGGTGACCCAATCCTTGGCCATCTTACACTTTCTTCAGCTACCTTGGTCATCAAATGGCCATATTTGAACCACATGGACAATATGTCGGTAGGCCATTATTCGCCAAATCAATGGCCTACATGTCCTACAACAAAACTGGACCAAATTGGACTGATTTTGACCGATGCCTGAAATGTTATTCCATATTGAACTCTAAAAAACCTAGCCCGAGGAATGCCTTGCCACTTGAGGGCGCTGGTAGCTGCCATAAGAGGTCAGGCGTAACAGCGACCGTTGCTGTGACTATAAACACTGACATGAGGGTCCTTTGTGGAGAGTGGAACTCTTTTAGAGACAATAATTTGGAAAATATAGAGATCTAAAATATCACTTTTAATGGTTGTCGTATGACATAGAATAGGCAATATGTTTTTGTTTGCTTCTCTGGCGAATTCAATTAATGAACTGATGTCACAATGACGTCAAAGAGATAATTAAAAGTTATTAAAACACGATTTTAATCCTTATTTTCATATATCAGTCAGCAAAATAGTTAAAAACTGTTGAAAAAAGATTTGGAAATAAATATTCCATATTAAATGTCAAGTCTGTAGTTTTATTATTTCTCAAGTATATCAATTATTTATTCAGCAAACCAAAAAAAGAGTAGGCTAAAGTTTTGTCCTTTCGATCTTTTCATGGACATCTGCAGGACAGTCATGAGCGAAAGGGAAATTAACTGATGTGTTATGTCAACATCTATTAAAATCCTTCCCTAGGAACATGGAAGAAAAACAGAAATTGAATAATTTATGTGACTGTGATTTTTTAGCTTTAAAAAGATTAATTGCATGAAATGTAAAGACAAATACTGTTTTTAAGAATTAATCCGTCGCTATGTCGGAATTATGTCGCAACAAATTCGAGAATGCTGTTTGTCCTTACCTTTTATTTCTCGACCGCCTATGTAAAGTGTCACACGTGGTGCCTTTCCGGAGTTGTCCGTCACTCGTGGCTTGTCTTGTTCCCAGTTCACAACCGCTTGATTACTGTCCAAAGCTGCGTTGACAGTTATGTCACTTGTTCGTTGATTTATGACGGGGCCTTGGGCATCTGTGAAATATAATGGATCATTATAACAGGTGTACAATGTAATATGTAACAGAGAAGCATGGATCAATAGGAAAGAAAGTTATGCTGAAATGTTTTCATGAAAATTTTATATCTCATACATTTATTTCAAAGTCTAACAGCACTACCGGTTAACGTCAATGGTATTGTGCAGTGCGTCCTGACTTCCACATTGCGTCAGGTTTTGTCTTCCTGGACGACGCAACAAGCTTACGTACATCTAACCATTAAAAAACATTTAGCTCGAAAAAAGGACTTATCTCTAAAACTAAACAATATGGTATTGGTTAATTCCGTTTATTATAAATGCATTGAAAACGACTCTCCATGCTTGGAATTTGCTGTCGTAATTTTAAATAAGGTCGCCCCAACCTGAATGGAGAAGCGCCACACGAGAGCAGAGTCAAGTATCTAAGCTTACCTCTACAATGCCCAGGTGCACCACTCCACGTGCCGTCATCCTTACAGACCACACTGGCCTGTCCTTGCACCACGTAACCGAGGTTACAATTCACTTTGCATGTCATTCGGGCAGTGGGCCGGGCCGTGCATTGCTGCACACTAAAACGCCCATTTTGGGGGTTTTGTAGGGGCTGGCAGAGTATCTCTGAAATATGAAGGCACATTTTAATGTGTCGACAGGCGGAGGATCTATTTTGTGGATTTCATTAAGCGATCCATCATTTTAAGGACTTACACGTGGGAAAAAGTTTTCCGAGGCCGCTTTAAATAAGTGGGCATATTTTGCTAAATTGGAAAATAGAGGAAATGCAAAAACAGAACTCACTGAAAAAAATCATTAAAAATAGCTGTGTATTTTGTTGTTTCAACATCGTAATTTTAAATATGGACACAGTACGTTATGTCTTTATGCCGAGGAGCGTTACTATTTTCCTACTCACGTTCACAGTATAAGTCAGTACCGGACCACTTCCCATTATCCTTACATTCCCGGGTAGAACTTCCGGTTGCGCGGTAACCTTGGTGACACGATGACCTACAGACAGTTCCAATTTGGTGATGAGCGAAACCCATTGGGTTTGTACACGACCAAGGATCTGCATTATACACTACGTTGCCCTTCAGGTTAGGGCACGAGATGGCTGAAAGAATCAAAAGACAAAAAAATCTTCATATGTTGCATTATTGATGATTTATTCATTCGTTTTCATCACTTTAACCATCTTGTTAAATCATTTATGTGTTTGATACTTTCTTTTTTAAGCTTGCAATTATTTGATTGCTTGTTCTTTCGTCTATTCATCTACCGAATTATGCAATCGACTATTTATCTTGACACGTACTCAACTAAAAATATCTTACATATATTCAGATAGTGGTTATTATGCTTGTATGTAACTATTGATATGGAAGCGGTCTGACTTACGTTCACACTGCGGCACAGCTCCGTTCCACTTCCCGTCGGATTGGCATTTAATGGAATTAATATTTTGTGACCGAATCTTAAAACCCTTATTACAAGCAAACTGACACACACTTCCGACTTTTTGAAGGCATTGTCCCTTGAGGAACGAATTGGCAGAGGCAGTCAACTTCTGGCACCTGACCTCTTTTATAGAATAACGAAAGAAAGAAAGTTAAACAATGAAAAACTGTACGTGAATTGATAAATACATTGTTCAGAATTCCATTTCTGATGTATATTTGGAATGCATGCATACATTGGCTGAATGAATTATTATCATTTATTGTTCGACCTAGAGAACTGAATTGACTTCATTATGCAATGCCTCTTCGCAGTTAAGCAGAAATCTAATATTTTACGCAAACCAACTTTTCTAACAACCGTTCTTTTTTGCTGTATAACATTTACTATATATGCTGGTAGTACATGAATGTTTTCGATAGACGGACAGCCATTTCTCTATAACCACTGAAATAGATATAAACATGACAGAGGTTCATAATTGTGTGAAAAAGTACCTGACTGCATATCTAATTACCATTCATCTTGCAAAACTAATTTTTCCCAAACCATTTTAAAATTAAAAAGACAGAAACAGACAGAATCTTAAGCCTAATTACCTTTGCACGGTGGTGTTTTGTCGATAGGCTGGCCTATTGCCGTGTTGGTATTGGTGAAGCCATCTTTACAGATGCAATCGTTGGGTGTGATCGACCCAATGTTAGCTGTGGTCGTGAAGCCCTGACAAGCGGTGCAGGTGTCCTCAGTGGTTGCTGACACGCTGTATGTTCCTTGGGCGCATTCTGGAAAAAAAGGCAAAAGCGCTACATATCATGCATCTTCTATTGAAGTCAGTAAACTGGTTTCCCACTATACGCCGCCATATGCATCAGGTAGCGTCATCGTTTATTTACGAGCGTATTCAGGACAGCAGACTAACAGATCCGCGGATCAAATATGGCCGACCCACTTGAATGCTTGTTCCGTAATCCCCGCGGGGAATCTTTTCAGTGCCTAATCGGGAATTAAGCCACAAGCTTTTTAGTGGGCCGCCATATTTGATCCACGGGTCTGTTAGTCCGCTGTCCTAATGCGCTCTACAAGACTTCTATTGATAACATACTGGCACATTTCATAATCTGTCCCTCTCGCTTGATGTGGTATCCCTTGTTGCAGACACATTTATATTCCTGTCCTCCGCGTGCGTCGCAGCTGCAGTAGGCCCCGGTTCGACATTTGCTTCCACAACGGGTCGCCAGCACTGCCTTGTATTCAAACTTCTGTTGGCCTGCAAAAGAAGTGATAAGAACAGGAACGTAAGTTTGGGTACTCAAACTTGTGAGTTGATCATCACCCGGAAACGTGATCTTATGAAAAACATCACATGTATCTGGCTAGATTTGGCCAATTGAGGATGTCTGCCAGGATTTCGACAGTTGTTTTGGACAAATAATAATTATCATTATTATTTAAAAAGTTTAGTTAAAATGCAAATATTGTACAGAAAACATAAAAATGGAGGGATTGTTTTAATTACAAATATTTTATAAGTTCCGAAGCAAATGCATCTAATAATAATCATAAATCACTCAATCCCATTATGCCGCATATTAAACTGACAACGATATCATGTGTAAAAACAGCGTGAAAACTCACCCTTGTGAAAATATCGAGCTATGTCCCGAAATTGTTTGAATGTTTTAATGTCATATACTAACTTCTTCCCATTTTTGTCTGATGATGACAGGTCGTTTAATATGCGTTTCTGCCACCTAGTGAAATACGCAAAAAATCTTACAAGACAAAATCAATAATATGTATTCTTCCTTCTCCAATCGAAGCATTACCAGAGTGTTATGGAGAATTGATTTTAGGGCGATTTGGGCGCAAACTACTCCCTATTAGCAAAGCGCCCGCCGTACTCAACTGAGTGATTAACACTGACGGTCTTAATCTCGCGTGAAAAGTGGAGAGTTATACTGATATATCAGGTGAAAATGCCACTCACCACCCCACTCCAACAGCAACAAACTCAACATTGTCCTTCTTCATATGATCCACAAGGAGTTTGGGGTCACCACCGTTGTTCCAATGTCCATCACTTAGTAGAAATACTACCTGAAATTTTCAAATAGCAAGATTGTAAATTTAAACAACAACACATGATATTGCTAACATCTCCTACCTGTACCAGTATATTCTTCATTATTTACATTTGAATTCTATGTTAGAAACCTTGAGAGTGGCACAGGTGGAGATTTTTGAGCCCCTATGTTCAGGTAGTAATTGTGCAAAGGGACTGTCGTTTTGGGCTTGGACATTTTTGTCCATGTTTTGGGGCACTAATGCGAGGAATGGATTTTGTAAGTCGATGCAACTTTTTCACGAACAAGTCAAACCACGAAAACACAACTGATAGGCGGATTGATCAACAACATAACTCTTTAATTAACTAAGCATAAAATAAATCATCTTCTCAATACATACCTGTAGAGCGCCCCGACCAGTTGACCGCACTCGGTCCAAATTCTGCTTTGCCAAGTAGAACGCTTGCTGCATGTTGGTCATGCCTCCTCGGTACCCCACGTGACCGAGTCTCTTTATGAACTCGCATTTGTCCAGCTTCGACCCCACGTCCAAACTAATGTGGACCTTGGCGTCGTTTCCAAATGTGATAATGCCGACCTGCGCAATAAAATTTATTTATTTATTTATTTTTTTTTATTTGAAGACAAACAGTGGGTCATACAGCCTCCTCCCTCATAGCTTTGGGTGTACCCATCCTTCACCCTACTAAAACGGTATAAGAACCAAAACGAAGCAATAACATGCCAATTGCCCGTTACTTCACCTTACATAGTAAAGCAGAATTGCCCTCCTCTACAATTTAACATTTGCTGAGTGATAACAGACAAAAGATATTTGGCACTCTTGCTTTTCATCCTGGCAAAATCCTGGATCTCTGATATCAAATATAAATTCTGTTAACCGAACTCTGAGTACTCAAGGTTTTCTTCACAAATTATTTATTTTGAAGTAAAAGAAAAACCCACCTTTGTACCCATAGATATGCTTTGCTATGCTATGCTCCTTAATAAATAAATTTATTTATTTATTTATGGATATCTTATCTAAACCGGACCAAAACTCCCATTTAATAGAATGCCATCAATCGTACTATATATTGAAAGTGTCTTATACTTTCTTCATCCCCCCCCCCCCCGGTCCATCCCCCTTTCTTCCACGCAGTATAATATAAAGACCAAAATAAAATCAATTTTGAAGTAAAAGAAAAACCCTCCTTTGTACCCATTGATATGTTTTGCTATGCTATGCTCCTAATTTATTTATTTATTTATTTATTATCTTTCTCTTTTTCACAAACGCACATACACACATACCAGCACATCCCCAGAAGTCCCTGTCCTCAATCAACCATGCCACCCACCTACCGACAAACACACGCGCACCCCCCCCCTCACACACACACACATAGTTTTCAAACCCCTATATCCCTCACCCCCAAACCGGGTAGAAAGAGACAGACCAAGACCCCCCATTCAACAGAATACCACCAATTGTACTATATATTAAAAGATCTTTATACTTTCTTCACCACCCCCCAACTTCACCTTTCTTCCACCTAGTATAATATAAAGACCATACTCTACCTGTGTGTACTGTGGCGCCACGCTGAAATGTTCCAGTATGTTCTTGATAAACTCCAACTCCGACTGGAAATCCTTCCTGGAAACGCTGCCAGACTCGTCTACCAGAAACATGAGGTCCACCACCTCCCTCGCCCGGCTGGAGGCGTAATTCATGCTTCCCAGGATCTGATTCCCAATTCTCTGGACCGTGGATAGGCCACTGCACCTGCAGAGTGACCGGTCCGAATAAAACAGGATGACTATTGCCGCTACCACACGGAAACACTCGATGTTCATTTTAAGCGCCATCTTACCAATTGCCTTTCAAGTTTTCTATCGACAGACGAACGTCAAATAATTCACCGTATTTGTCCTATATATTATGGCTGTCGCGGGGCACAGTCTGTTGTCCCTCAAACAGCTTAAACGCGAGAAAGAGAATGGAAAACTCTCAATCAGTATGTAGAGAAAGCGTTTTCAAATGCACTCTTAATATCAGCCGTCTCCTATGAAGACAGCCCATCCAGCATTGCGCAAAAATGTTGGGTTTAGCTTAAACAATAGGTCCGGGTTTGGAGAACTGTCTCCGAGCAGTTGGCCAATCAAATAGAAGATCGGTTGCCGCCTGGAAGCAGGGGAGACGGGTGGTACAGGGGGCTCCTAAAAGTTGTTCATTTTTGTTGACTTGGCCACTAAACTTCGGGGACGAGGTTTAATCCGCTTATTGGGCCATGGGGAGGCGAGGAAACCATCAGGGGTTTAGTCGGCATTGCTTTTAAGTGGATCGGCCGTATTTGACCTGTGGATCTGTTAGTCCGCGGATCAGCTTGTTCTGAATGCGCTGATTATCATCTTTCAGTGGCTGCTAATTGTCGACAAGAGGAGACACAAGCGACGTCCAATGGAGACGAGATTGACAGTAAAATAGTGCAGTGGATGGTTCGGTGGTTCAGTTGGTAGAGTTCTCGCACGTAGAGTAGAGCGGGCGCCCCGGTGTAACGTAATTGAGGGTCTGTGTCACAGAAATACCTCCCTCCATATAGTTATAATGGTTAGGGTTAGTCTGACCTAAGTGGGTCAAAATCTAGGGCGAGGATCACCTGCACAAGTGAATGGGAAGGAGACTCTCTGTTATGGGGGACTCTCTGTCACGTTACACCGGGTTCCCTCCCGGTCGAGTCCGCTATTTTCCCCCAAATAACTTCAGTTACATTAGATGCCGACCACTGATTGCCTACTAAACTTCCAATTTGAAACCACAGCAGTGTTTGTGCCTCATTTCTTGCCTTCTTTGTGCATCCAACTTTCTATTAGACCACTTTGGACGTTTCCTTTGGAAGCTAACAATTGAAGGGAGCATGGCGTGAACGTTCTGACCACCAACCCCTATACGACCTGAGATACGAGCTTCCAACTTCTCACGGCCCCACATAGGAGACACAACTGTAAAAATTATCAACAAAGAATATACATGATTGTCTTTATTCATCTATTTTGTTTATCATTTTTAAAACATTTGATAACGTTGAAGGGTTAAATAATTCACTTCAGTGTAATAAAATCTCAAAACGAACTGAAAACAAACAATTCTGGCAATTTAGCTATATTTTAAATATCTTCAAGTGTTAGTCTAAGCGACATTGTATTAAACAAAGCTTTAAACACATAATGCCTAATTGCACATCTATTAAAAGTCAAATTATGTTTTCTGCTTTCTCTTCATATTGCGTTTGAATGAGCTAGCATGCTGAAATGAGATCCTGTTTTGTCATTAACCGCAAAATCCGGGTTTACAGTTAGTGGCACGTGCTGGGAACGGGTTTCATAGAAGAAACTACCGTAAGTCGTAAAATAATCTGGACTTTTCAACGGAAATCGTAGGTATACATTGATTTAAGATAAGTTTACTTTAGTAAAGCTAAAAGAGATTTTATCTGCTTTAAAAAGATGAGAAATGACAACGTAAAATCACCTTATTTTAGTGGAGTACTTAAGATACACATGTGATTGAAATAAACTAAAATATTCTGTCTTCTAGTCCTTATTTGAAGCCTGGTCCTCTTATCAGGTTTACGCAGCTTTTAGCAGTACGGTAATTAATTAAAACTTTCAAACGCCTTACTTTTTCAAGATTTATAATTTTCAGAATTGCCACTTACAACACTGTAATCTCAGACACAAAGCCAACTGACCTGGCAAACTTTTCTAATCGTTTTGCGTGCTTAAAACAAAGTATGATTTTTGGGGAAAGAATCCATTCGTGTTGTGCAAATGTATTTATTGTGCATATTGTCTTACAACCGGAACTCAATCACGCGGTTTTCCAAAGAAACTAGATGCCCTGGTCAGGAAAAACAGGTTTTATAGGGGCTTGGAAACTTCATTCTGTTATTATAACTAAGTGAGACAAATAAAAAACAAAAGATATACAGCAGAAGCTTGACATGTGTTAATGCTTATCGAACTCCTGTTTCCTGCAGACTTTCGGAGAATCGTGTTGTACTGGCAGTAAACAGGATGCGATCACTTTGACTAAACTGCACCTTCACAGATATACATGAATAACATGCATCGAAACAAGCAAGAGTTTTTTTTTTTTTTTTTTTTTTTTTTTGTGTGTGTGTGTATGTGTGTGTGTGTGTGTGTGTGTGTGTGTGTGTGTAAAAGCTTTTCTTCATAAATACGAAGTCTGAAAAGGCGAAATAAAAGAACTGAGCACATATCCAAGCGCAAAAACAACGGTTCTTATTAACGTAACAAGGGTAATAAGTTTACATGTCTGGTGAAATAAGTTTACATGTCTGGTGAAATATTTGTCGTAGACGAAATGGAGTGTACCCTAAAATTCAGGGCACAGTATGTTTTGCTGTTTTAATAATAGATATCAAAGATGAGATTACAGTGACCTCTGAAACTGAGGGTGGGTGGGTGGGCGGGCGGAGTCCAGGCGCTCGTCCAAGAATAGTTTATTATATAACTCACGAAAGAAAAAACAGTAAGTCTTGTGAAAGAGTCTCCAAAATGCACTTGTAATATCTTACGGAAAAGATAAATAGGTAACCTAGGTTTGAGGTCACTATCAGTCAGTAGTTTTAGGCGGATATTGTATAGTTTCCTTAAATCAAGAATCCATTACCATTTTAATCATTATTTTGGAAATTGCTTCTTCAAATGTATCACTTTTCGCAGAGGGGGTTTTAATTAAAATTTACGCAGACAGGGTTTTAATTAAAAGATTTGTAGATCCGTTTTCGTTAAAGCTTGATCGATAAAACCGACAAACTTGCAAACTTCTGTATGGATGAGATAATGCCAAAACTATACTTAAAAAATTCTTTAATATATAAAAAATAAACTTCTCCTTGATAATACAAATGATGGGGTGGTGTTATTTGTTTGAAAGACAGCATGCGCCCACGTGACGCCACGGTCTTGGTTAAGGCCACGTGAAGTGCGCGCATTTATGTCACGGGCATGTTACTGAAATAGTCCAATACAAGTGCAAGAAAAAGGAAAGTATTGCTTTATTATCAAATACAGTCGCGAAGAAATGAATACGGTCGTGAAATATATGATCATATACTTATTAAGTCTTAAAATTACAATAATGTAACTGTTAATTTTAAAAAATCTACAGTAAATAATTTGTTAGGAAATGTGTGAAAGAATAAATAATTTAAATGAAACGGTGTTCGGTTCCATACTTTTTAAGACCCCTGTCAAATCAATGCTCCAGTTAAGTTTTAAACTCGTCCGTATCCGCATTGCCTTTTATTGCTAAACTGTGCCGCTGCACGGCAAAGAGCGCCATAGATTACAACTCTCAGTTCACAATGCAGGCAGGACGTTTGCTGAACGTGTTGATACTGGCTACGTTCGCCATACTGGTAAGCCTCTCTCTCTCTCTCTCTCTCTCTCTCTCTCTCTGTGTGTGTGTGTGTGTGTGTGTGTGACTGAGAGAGAGAGAACAGTATTATACATGCCCGTACTTATTCGGGTTATTCAAAAATGCGTTGTGTAATTTATGCAGAAATGTTCAAACTGAATTTAAAAAACATTCACATGGGAGCAGTATTAAAAGTTTAAAAAACAGTACTGAGAACATGTCCCAAGAATTTAGAGGACGTATTAAAATTGGCAACCAGGCGACCTTAGGCCCTCTACCAAGGTCACGCAGTGAAATTGTTTCACTGAATATTTACAGGTAATTCTCTGAATATTCACTAACTGTGCATAGTGTGAGCAATTTTGCTCAACAAAGGCGTTATCACTCAGCTGCTCACTGACAGAGTAACAATATCCGGTCTGCAGATAGTAAGAGGGTGCATTCCCAGAGATTTAGATCGATCCAGAGATTTAGATTTAGATCGACCTAACGCCCTGGAGTTCACGCTAAATTGCAGTCAGCCGAGTGTGCACCATAGTTAATTACCCCCTTACAGCTTTTAGTAGGCGGGACAGACGCTTAAGCCGGCTAAGCTGACAGTCATCTAGTGAGACTCCCCACAGGGATAGATCGATCTAAAATCTATGGGAATGGGGTCATAGACTTACCAGCGACATTTGTGGATCTGGTGAGCTTGCTTTTAAACTATGTCACGACCCCTCCACCCACCCCCTAATCCTCAACGTCAAATAATTGGAAATCCTAGTTCCACTTATCTAAAATGCGATAGTGGTCCACCCCTGCATGAGAAAGGGTCAAATTTAAGTTTGAGAAAATAATATAATTGTTTTATTGCAGTAAAGAACGACTTATTGTAATATAGTGTCAATTAAATACGTTAGAGAGAGAGAGAGAGAGAGAGAGAGAGAGAGAGAGAGAGAGAGAGAGGTAGGTAGGGAGATGGAAGGAGGGAGAGAGAGAGTGGGAGAAAGGGAGGGAGAGAGAGGGGGGCGAAGTGGAACTATAGCAGTTAAATTGATTATTAATTATAGGAAAGGGACATTAAGGTTCCATACCCCATACTCCATATTTATAGTATACCTCTGTTTTAAGCCAACGGACATTGCACCCAAGCCGGATATAGGCCTATTTCTACTGTTACATAAACGGAAACCAGTTTTGCTTCAGACACACTTTACTTATAGTAAAATGCAGGATTAAAATACCCTCCAGCAGAGTAAGAGAGAGATGTTTTTCAAGATATTCACAGATGTTGCTTTGGCTATTCTGTTCACATTTCTGTACTGTGTCGAGAATATTGTCAATATTTACAAGAGAAAAATTATGTCTCACCCAGCTGAAAACTCTTGAAGAATATATGTCTAGTTCTTTTGAAATCTGGTGCAACCCTTACGTCGTGAAATCGACGATTGAGGGACAGTTGCAATTTTTTTCAATATTTAATACCGTAGCTCTGGAGGTCACGAAGCACTAGCTAATTGCATATGTGTATTATTAACAACAAGGGCTGTTTGAGAAAACCCATCGTCTTTGGATCTTGATAATATTTGTACATCTGCTCAGTATCGAACGGCGTTCCCAGTGAAACTACTACTCTGTTCTTTTACAATGTATCACTGATTGCGTCTTAGTGGAGTGACTCGAATGTTAGGTTATGGGCGCATTCTCATAGATTTTAGATCGATCTTTCCCCATGGGGAGTCTCACTAGATAACTGTCAGATAATCCGGATTAAATGTCCGTCCCGCCTTCTACAAGCTGTAAGGGGGTAATTAACTGTCGTGCCCGCTCGGCTGACAGCTATTTAGCGTGAACCCCCAGGGGGTTAGGTCGATCTAGTTGGAGCGATCTAATCTCTGGGAATGGGGTCTATAAGAACCTACTTTATTAACTGTTCTCGCAATGTTTTTTTTTAATATTATTATTTTGGGGGTGGGGGAGTTTCAGAATTGTGATTTGTCGATCTTTTTTGCTGTGCTGAATGTAATGAAGATACATGTAACAGAAATCATAGCGTTTTAGAATAAAATATACATGTATTCTTTAAAAACTCAAACATTGCACTTTATGCTATGTGTGGTTTACTCAATGTCCAATATATGATGCACAAGAACTATGTCCTTACCAAAAAAGGGAAAACGTTGGTGAGAACCGTGGTGAAATAAAAAAAATCTATAATTCATAACTCATCGTTTCTATCGTTGGGTGGATAGTTAGATTATTGATTCGGAAAAAAAGGATGCCCGTGTTAAGCGTTAAAGATTACATTACAATCCATTTTTCTAACAACAGTCTCACACGGTGTGATCCCGGATGCTAGCATCCACTAAACAAAATAAATGCATGACTTTGATATTAAAAAAATTAAACGAATTCCATGATTGTGAAATATTACCACTATTGTTATTGCAATTTGAACATTAGTACTTAAGTTTCAGCTTCATGGTAAAACTAAAGATTTTCAGAATATTACCAATATTATCAAGCCGCTACCTTTGTTATATGTATTTCTGTAATTCAACCACGGGCGTTATAACTTATTTTATTCTATAATTCACAATCATACGACTCATACAATCAAATGCTTCTCATGACATTTCCCTTTTATTATTTCAGGAGACATGCGGCAGAACAAGTAAGTTTAATTTATCACGGAATGTCAGATCGTTGCAAATGGTTCATTTCATTTTTTTAACTTTCGTAAGTACTTGTCCATTCAAAAATTAAAGTCCCAATAAGTAAGTTAAAACAGACAGGCGGAACTAGCCTCAATATTTCAGCTGCGCCGGTTTAAATGGCGGATATTCAGGCCAACTTTCAGGATTTCATACCCAATTATAACATTATTATAAAGATGCTACATATGAAAGTATTTTATTGTAATGTGTGTTGTCATAGGGTATAAATCGATTGATTACGAATTATCTTTTTACAAAAGCTTTTTAAAAACATCTATTCATTTATGTATTTAGCAATACTTTTCTAAGAGCTATGATAAAAATCTAATTTTACTCCAGTTATCATTTTTACAAAAGACGCTTGACAGGTTTTCATTTTTAGTCGAAGTTCCAAATAGGTGTATATTTTGAATTTTTTTTTTCATAATAATCTAACAGTGTGATATGAATGATGTTTTTTTTTTAGCCCAGAGCCCGTGTGACATCAACAATGGTCAGTGCAGTGACAAGTGTGTCCCGTACCAAAATTACCAAATACGATACGACAATCTTCCTTCTGGATACTACTGCGCATGTCCTAGAGGGAAAGCACTATTCAGGGGGACTCTTTGTTTGCGTAAGTATAGAAATGTGTGTGGGGGGTGGGGTGGGGGGTGGGGGATGGGGGGTAAGCGAGAGTGTGGGTGAGTGGGTATGTGGGTCGATTTGTTGGTGAGCTGATTGGGGTTGTTTTGTGAATGCTCGATGTATGTTAATTCTTATTTTTGGTTTTGGGTCATGTATTCAAGGTGTTCGCTATGAAGCTTGATCAGTTTTGACTCGCTCAGCTGAATAACTACGTATTTATTAATTAATTAATTAATTTATTTATTTATACATGAAGTACGTGTATATATTTCACAGGCATATTCTAGAATTAATTTTATTTGAAGTACAAAAACGAACATATTAAAGTATGATTACATACAGTCCTGAGAATTGAATTAGTCAGTAAAAGCCCAGCTAGGCATTTTAGTCTAAATGTTTCATATCAAGTTCTTCGGTGGACGCAGGTCGTAGAGAGTTTAAATAAAATGTTAAAGCCCAGGAAGTTTTGATTCAAACCCTTAGCGTTTTTAAATATTTTCTTATAGTTTCTCTTTTTTACAGCACGAAACCATCCCTGTTTTAATTACCGCTATTGTATGAGTAATGAAAAATGTGTCCCCACTGGAAGCCGAGACGGATATGGTTACAGGTGCGACTGTAAGAAGGGCTATATTCCCAGAGAAAATGGACGGGGATGCCGGCGTGAGTGTTATGTGCCGTGTTCAAAGTATTATATTTCACGATCAACTGTGTTTGTATTCCACTAGGGAATACAGGATTCTGTACCCCCCCCCCACCACGCCACCCCCACCCCCCACCCCCCACCCCCCAGCCCCANACTGTCTGCTGCCCACTGGGCTCCTAGTACCCCTCCTGGTCTACAAAGATGCCACGTTGGAGCAGATTAAACAGGTAGGGGGTATCTCTGACCCCCCCCCCCCCCCCCCCCCCCCCCAAAACGCCATTGGTGTTTTTTTTTAATTTTTATTTTTTATTTTTTTATTGGGGGGGGGGGGGGCAGAAGGGTGAACCTCCAAACTGTTCAAATTAACGGAACCGCAATTGCTGCTATTTTTTTAAAGATGTGCACACGTACAAATATGTGTCATCTATTATTCCCAGTTTACGCAGGTATATGGACATTGTTTCGCAACAAACATCTATTCAAATTTTTATATTTATCTACACGTAACAACGCCATTCTCCTAGTGAGGGGTTGGTGGTGATGTGAAAACTGCGTTACTGCAGACGAAATAAAATCCCCAAACGCGTTTATTTGTAAATAAGATGATTTAACAATTTTCACGAAAAACTCATAAACGGAATTCTTCTTTTCGATTAATATAACAAAACAAAAGTCTGTGGATACTGATTTATTCATTTTGAGCAAATTAAACAAGTAATTACCTTAAAATAACCTTCATCCCATGCTTATCAACATTAAATACAGCTGCCCCTGTGAGACGCACTACGCCAGCACAGACTACGGTAGTCGGGGGACAACGACGGACTCTCAGGACAAGAATAACCCCAGCACCTGTCTTCACCAATCTAACCACACCTGCGCCCACTGCGGCACCTCACCCCTGTGACGTCAACAATGGCGACTGTGAGCACAGATGTAGGAGGACCTCGTCAACGACACGTGTCTGCGAGTGTCGTCTTGGTTATAGGCTGCTCGGCGACGGTCTATCATGCGAGGGTAAGACAGAGACGGTGTTTGCTGGTTTCCTTGTTTAAAAGTTAAAATATTTTGAATTTGTTTTCAAAATATCTGGTTTTTGTGGATACCCGTATACAGTTTGCAGGTAAGATTGGCAGCTTTTCGTTTCGTATATTCCAAATTAGTTCACTCGAAAGGGAATCCCATTGGCTTGGAGCTGAAAACATAACGCTCTAGCACTTTTAATCAATAAAAACCTTGGCCTGTGGCTATGACCTAAATCCTAAAGTTCACCGGTTTAATAGCATTAACGGTACCTGCATTTGTTTTGCAAACACTCCCCGTTTTTCGGGATATTGCATCTCTAGTACTCCATCCCCCACAGTATCAGAGTAGTGACCAGTGACTCTCCTCTAGCTGACATTTTCCAAAAACGTAGGTTGCTTCACCACTTGTTCAGCAGTCTTGCTCACCATATCAAAGTTTTTATAAGACTAAGCGTAACTAAAGTAATAATTCAACAATCTGTTAACATCGATTCTTGCAGAAGTAGATCCCTGTGAAAACAATGGCGGGTGCAGTGACGTCTGCATAGCTAACTGGCCAAACCGCACGTGTAGCTGCCGTATTGGTTACAAGCTTGGCAGTGACCAAAAAACATGCATAGGTAAGCTACATTTTCAATTTCTCCTTATGCGCACCCATATTTACTTTTGTTCATTTTGGCAGTGCTGCTTTATTCGTATTATTCTCATTATAATTATTCTTCACGTACAGTGACGAATCTAAGGATGGCAAAGTGGACCATTTAGAACCCCCTTCCTTAGCCTCAGCGTGAATTAATGCAAAACCAAGCAATTTCCCATCCTTTTTAGAGAAAATCGCCCTCTTCTGCTATTTTATTCATATCTATTATTTACTTATTTTTAAATTAAATTAAATTAAAATCATACTTTTTTTGGTTTGATAGTAAATGAACAATATGTCTCAAAAAGGTTTTTCGCAGATTTTGATAAATTATTCAGGAGTGGTAGTTCTTCGGAGAAAAAGAAGTTATGTCAATTCAAGCTGAATTTCAGTCTCCTTACATTTTTTCAAAGTATCAAAATAGCCTTGTTCCTTGGTGTTTATGTGTCCATAAGAATATTTTGTTTATTATTATTATTATTATTATTATTATTATTATTATTATTATTATTGTGTAAGAGAAAATTTTGACAGATACCTTCCCCTGTTGGTCAGCTGTGGGGGGATTATATGAAAGGGCGGGGTGTGACGTCCACAATTTTCTCACTTAAAGGATTTTATTTTATTGAAAGTTGACCTCAGTCTGACAAATTGAAATCGTGATTAATGCATTTCTTTTATTATCATCATCATTTCTTTGTTATCATCATCATCCTTATTATTATTATTATTATTATTATTATTATTATTATTATTATTTCCCTGCAGATGTGGACGAGTGTTGGGAGGGGACTGCCCGTTGTGAACAGGACTGTATTAACGAACAGGGGTCTTATCGCTGTGCATGCCAACGTGGATATAGCTTGAAACAAGGAAACAGATGTGAAGGTAAACCATAGAGAAAAATATATAGTGCACAGGCACCGGCTGAGCAGCAGAAGCCTATTTTACTATTTTTTTAGACTGTCCATTTGAGTTTTAGTCATCCCCTTATAAAGCCCAAAAATTGACTTATGTGATATTTGAATAAGAGCATCTGTGAATCATTGGAATACATAAACATTTACACAATTAATTGTATATTGCATTTGGGAGGACTATAAATTTATCATGTTGTTTATATTTTCAGATATTGATGAGTGCCGGATCAACAATGGTGGATGCAGTGACTCATGTTATAATACCCCCGGGTCGTACAAGTGTCACTGCCCGCCTGGGTTCTACTTACTTAGTGATGGCAAGAACTGTGAACGTAAGTTGATCTATTTACACCCCAATTGCTCTCTCTCTCTCACACACACACACGCACACGTACTTCCGATTCCCACCTTCGATCTGCATATATAGAATGGTACACGTAGACGAAGACAATTTTTCTGTGAAGTGTAGGGACCAAGTCTGAAAAATCGCTTTTTTTTTTAATTCGTTTTGCCAGTTCAGCTTTTTTTAGGGAAGTAGAAATGGGGGAGTTGGTACCTTGATAGCTAAGGGGTCACGTGACGGGTCTGCCATTACACACACGCCCAACTCTACCTCCTCAAGGCTGGGTTAGTAAGGGAATATCTTACACTTTTAATATCGATGTTTCAGAGAAGTGGAAATGCTCCAGATATGGCTGTGAGCACAACTGCCAGCATCCCATCATCCAGTTCGAGCCGTACTGTACTTGTAATACCGGATACATGCTCACCCAGGACCAGAAACACTGCACAGGTGAACATTATATCCTTAAGTATTTACGTGTATTTTTCGTGTATTTTATGCACTTCAGCTACTCAGTCCGTTAGTCATTCTGCGATATACTGATTTATGCAAATGTTTATTTATTTCTTTATTTATTAAAATGTTGTCCACTTCAGATATGGACGAATGTCGTCTTGGCTTCCACAAGTGCTCCCATTCCTGTCAAAACACGGTGGGTGGATACCAGTGTTCTTGTCCTGCTGGGATGAAACTTGCCGCGGACCAGAGGACATGCGAATGTAAGGTTTACACAAGCTAGTGGGGGGAATCCCATTTGGCCAAGCTCGCTACCATTTCTTCATCTGTTTATTTGTTATAATTTATGTGCATATTTTCTTTGCAATAGATGCACACCAGAAATGATATGTAACTGTACTGTATGTAAATACAGTTA